TCCCTTGTTAATGATTTCTTTGTTTTAGGTTTCATTTGATTTAGCTGAGTACACTGCAAATGTTGATGCCGTGGGAACTCTCAGGCTATTAGATGCAATCAAAACTTGTGGACTGGAAAAGGACGTCAGGTTTTATCAGGTACAATGAAACATGATCTTCTGGCAGTTACATGTATGTCCTTCAGCTTTGCCACATCTTCAGCATGCATTATTAGCAGATCTCAACAATATTAATGAATAAAGGCTGATAGTTTCGAAAGAAACTGTTTGGGGCTGCGTCGGTGGGAGTAACGAAATAATTTGGATATATCAACAAAGTTGAAATGGTAAATTGGCCACCGTAATGATTACAAAAGCTGACGTTTCGAGCGTTAGCCCTTCGTCGGAGCGAATAGAGGAATTGTGGGTTGTGTGTGCTTTTAAAGGCAGAAAATGGAGCACACACAACCCACAATTCCTCTATTCGCTCCGACGAAGGGCTAATGCTCGAAACGTCAGCTTTTGTAATTGTTACGGTGGCCAATTTACCATTTCAACTTTGTTGATATATCCAAATTATTTCGTTACTCCCACCGACGCAGCCCCAAACAGTTTCTTTGGAAACTATCAGCCTTTATTCATTAATATTGTTGAGATCTGCTAATAATGCATGCTGAAGATGTGGCAAAGCTGAAGGACATACATGTAACTGCCAGAAGATCATGTTTCATTGTACCTGATAAAACCTGACGTCCTTTTCCAGTCCACAAGTTTTGATTGCATCTAATAGCCTGAGAGTTCCCACGGCATCAACATTTGCAGTGTACTCAGCTAAATCAAATGAAACCTAAAACAAAGAAATCATTAACAAGTGAAGAAGTGAAAGCCTTTCTTGTTTATGCAAACTGAAACCAGTTTTTCTACAAAATATAAAAAGCAATTAAAATTTAATGTCTCTCCTAAAAAGACACCTTTCAATTAAGATGCTGAATATTTTCCTTGCTGTAACAAGACCATGAATCACAATTACATACTTAAAACTCAATTAATACTAGGTTACTTTTTTTTTTTTTCAAAGAATTACCTTCACATGGCTTTGAGCTCCTAAATTGTAAACTTCATTCGGTTTCACCTAAAGTACAAGAAAAACAATATTCATCTTTGGTCATGATTTGATATACCAGTACACTTTTCAGAAATGTAACACAATTTGACAAACTTAAGCAGATAAATGTTAGGAAGTTAAAATTTCCCATTAGTCTTAAATTCATCTTTCATTCTCATACTTGTAAATGCAAAAAATATCCAGGAATATCTGAACAGATTGAAAAAATCTCACCTCACTGATAATTTTTACTAAGTTTGTACTGTCAGTAAGATCCCCATAATGTAGTTTCATGGCTTTTAAAAGAAGACACATTTATATTATCAAAAAGGGCACATAAAATATGTTTAAGAATAAAGAAAAGTAACCAATTAGGGGATCATTAGTTGATCCAATACCAAATTCTCCAAACACACATTACAAGAATTGTATAGCAGACACTAGGGAGTTTTACTAATAAGATCTTGGAAGTGATAGGTTTAATAATAATGAAGTATTCTTAGATTAGTTCCCTTTCCTGCAACAGTAATGTTGAGTTTTAAACTTTTGCAGTAACTTGCTTTGTTGCTCTGAGATTTTGTGAAAGATGTTATCAAATAATTGTCAAAGTAGCCTGCAAGTCAGCAATCACTAGTGATGAGGCATGAGAGGTGAAGTCAACAAGATTCCATGCAACAGGAGTCTGGCCTGCTTGTTTCGCCAGTTGCCTAGAATCTTGTGGGCTTTGCAGCTTGTGCCATGGTGAGAATAAGAGCCAACCTACAGGCTTAAGTTGAAGGCATATCATTGTACAACAGAAATATGTACCTCCCATTTTGTGGGATCTGATATCAGCATATAAATGAGAAATTCTCCCAGTGTTGAAAGAGCTTGATCGCCTAATGATTCCATGCACCTGGAAAACACAACTAGGGAGTTACATTTATACAGGTGGTTAATGAGAACTTTAAACTTAATTATTTAATTAAAAAACCACAGTGTGAGAAAAAAAAGAAAAAATGCCTTTAGGTAGTAAATACCAATTACCAGTAACAAGTGAATCTAGCCACAAGGTCCTTAAACAGTTTGATAATCAAAGTGACTTAAGAATTGCCACTCACAAAGCATTATTAAAGATAATAACTATTAACAAAATACTTCTTATAAGTGAATAAAGGCTGGTAGTTTTGAAAGAAACTGTTTGGGGCTGTGTCGGTGGGGGTAACGAAATAATTTGGATATATCAACAAAGTTGAAATGGTAAATTGGCCACCGTAATGATTACAAAAGCTGACGTTTCGAGCGTTAGCCCTTCGTCGGAGCGAATAGAGGAATTGTGGGTTGTGTGTGCTTTTAAAGGCAGAAAATGGAGCTACGTTATTGGTGGGTGCATGGCAACGAGAAAAACATGAATAAATTAGTGGAATGAAAAGCGTTCATTGATCCCTGTGGGATTTAGACTGCCGGTTTGAAAGATGAGCTTTTGTTCAAGATTTTTACGGCTTTCCGTGCCACCTAAGTGCAAGGAAAGACCGCAGATTGCCATATGTTGCTTAGAATGATTAGGTAAATTAAAATGTCTAGCGACTGGTTTCGATGTGTCCTTGTCATTCCTTTCCACGTCTCGAAGGTGTTCTCGGAATCGGTCACCTAGTCTTCTGCCTGTTTCGCCGATGTATATCTTTTTGCAATAAGTGCAAGTTATGCAATAGATTACATTGGCGGAGGTGCACGTGAAGTGATCGGTGATCTTAATGGATCGTTTAGGTCCCGATATTTTATCAGTGTTGTGAATGAAAGGACACGTTTTGCATCGTGCACGAGCGCATTTAAAAGTGCCTGGTTGGTCATTAGTCTGAAAAGAACTTCTGACCAAAAAATTGCCTATGTTTTTGTCGCGTTTGAATGAAATGAGCGGAGGCTGCGAAAAGATAGTGCTTGTCTCTGGATCGTTTTGAAGTAATTTAAAGTTTTTAAGAATGATGGATTTAACTGAGTGGTTGTGAGGGTGAAACGTGAGAGTGAATGGAATGCGGTCGGAATCTTCCTTATGCGACGTTTGTAGTGCTGAATGTCGATCAATAAGTTGNAGATCTTATTGTTAATTCTCTTTAATGTCTGCCATACAATTCTCATAGTGTCACTTAAGAGAACTTGGCATTGGATTATGGATACACTTCTTGGAGTGATGAAACAATTATGACAAAACAATAGACAGAACTTCATTTTTCTTCTGAAGAAACCTGTTTAAAATTCGTAAATATCTGACAGATGAGGCCACCTCTAAGGTAGTACATGCTTTTATAACTACAAAGCTAGATTACTGCAACCATCTTTACTTTGGTCTGCCCAAATATCAAGTTAACAAAAGGCAGAGGGTTCAAATCTCTCCACCCTGTAACTTTGTTATTCTCTACGTCAGTCAGACTCATGGGAGGAAACTGTTGTAAATCACCAATCTAGTCTTTCTAGTACAGTTAAGTGATATAGCTTAACATACGTTATCTTCCCATTTAAATCATTACAACACGAAATGTGTTTCAGTTGCTCAAGTAAGGCCATCCTTCAAATAATTATATTTTTCCAACTTCAGTAAACCTGAATTATGTAACTAACCCAGGTTCTCATTGCAGCAGTGGCCAATATTGGCGCTACATTTTAAAAATCGAAAAACACAAATTACCGAAACACCAAGATAACTTCAACATGCAATTATTCAAATCCACCATATTATACATTCCTTTTTTCATTACCTTCAGTTCTAAATTTATAATCCTTTATATGACGTACTTGCTGGCAAAAACTAAACATGTGGTTGACGAAGATTATTCTTTATCGTTAGTTTTGTCGTAATTTGTCAGTAGTAAAATCGTCAGAAGAATATTTGAGAACAATAAGGACTCTGATTTCCCGACAGATGTTATAAAAACAATTAAGAACTTCTAACGCGTTTGAATGCCCGCTCTCGACAGGGTTTATTTTATTATACGCGCGCCATGCTCCACCGATCGATATTGTCTGGGTGTCACGGATTACGTATTTCTCTTAAATTTCCTCACCTGTCCAGTTATGCCTGTGATTAAAGCCACTCTCTTTTGGCGTTTTGCCTCTGCCATGTTCCCAAAAATCGATGAGAAAAACTCAACGCAAACTCTGGACTTTCGATACCTGTTTCTACGAGGTTTCACCGAGAGCCGGTTGCCGTGACAATCACTGCTATGGTGTGACGCCACGTAACTGTGTTTTAACCAATCAAAATATTAGGTCACAAAAACCTTACTCCATGAGCGCCTGACACCACAGGTGTCGCGATTTGAGGCCGTTTTGATGTGTTTTAGCTTGACGCCCTAAATTACCTTGCATAACAATATTTATTAAAAACTAAATCATTGGATAATGCAATTCAAGACTTTTTATTGGCTTAGCCATTATGGTATATCAGCCAATATACCATAATCTACAAATATGGTAAGCGTACGCGTCAGCTTAAAATCAAAAGGGAGCTAAAAAATCCAGTTTCTTCTTACAAAATAATAATTTCTTGGGGGCGTTTTTAATAAAACAATTATTCCACTCGCGCTTGTTGGATATGAGATGATTATAGCCAACTCGGCGCTACGCGCCTCGTTGGCTAT